TTGTAAGAGGGCACAGGCCAGGCCGAGGGACCCCACGGGTGCACAATAGGGGCTGGAGAGGGACGTGGGAGGGCAGCCAGCCGGGAAGGGACTGGGGGAGGGCTTCAGGGTATGTCTGCCTGTCTCATTCAGTCCTAATCAGCTGGACCCCAGAAGTAAGCTAACTACCAGTCAGAGCATCTGCCTCCTGGTGGTTAGTGCACATCATAGCAAGCCGTTGAGCAGCCTTGGCACATCATTAGCATATTACGCTTTGATTGGTTGACCAGCCGACCAGACACTTAGCATATTAGGCTTTTATTATATAGGATTAACTGATGTCATACCCAATAAATTCAATTTTATATATATATATATATATATATATATATATATATATATATATATATAGCAGTTTAAGATTTATATATAGGAGGGTACCTAGGCTGTGCAAACATGTCTGACTAACTTCAAAGGCATTTTGAAAATTGCTTCAATTATTTCCTGATAGAAAAAAAAATACTGCCATGAAGGGTTTTCAATAATCAAATCACTGAGCAAAGTAGGATTTCTAGAATTGGCTGGGTTATTGGCATGTCACGGTCTGGTCAGGATGTGTGACCATCTCACGCTGGCAATTACAGGCAGCCCCTGGATCTCATGAGAGCAGCAAGAAACACTTAAAAGTGGGATAATGTTGCCTGACTGCATTACCTATAGGATTTACTCAGCACTGCTCCTGCTTCTTCAGTGCTTTTTAGAAAGCTTTGGGAAGGGTAGGCTGCAAGCTGAGAGTGGGAGTCTGCAAGGGAGTGTGGGTTGTTTTTTTTTTGTGTGTGTGGTTTTTTTTTCAATGTGAGAGAGGAGAGATTTTTCTCTTCCTAATAAAAACAGAGCAGAGCGTGGTGACTAGGATATCGTCTCTCAAATTCATCAAGAACTGAAGGCTCCTGCAGTTTGAAAATACTTCAGGAAAACGTCCGCGTAGCTTTTCCTTCTGAGTCATTTAGCCTGCATTTAAACATGCCAGCCCAGCAAAACCAGGCTGGTGATTTCATTGGTGCAAATGAGAGATCTGAGTGGAGTGGGGTTTGGGGAAAAGAAAGAAAATTAAAATGATTGCCTTTAGGAAAATAACACCAACTTTTTTTTTTTTTTTAATCACTTTACCCAAAAAAAAAGTTCCTTTGAAAGAGTTTGAATTCAAGCAATTAGTGGATCGGAGCCGATGTAGGTGTGTGTGCCTCTCACAGCACTCTGCACACCTGGGCGGGCTGCTGGGCTTTCCTTCCATGTTGTTGGAAGATTGAAGGTGAAGGAATATGCAAAATGATTGGCACCGTGTTGATGCACAACAGACACAACTACTTCTTGATCTCTATTTTTATCCAATAAAATAATATACACACATGCCACATGCACAAATTCTTGCATATCAGGTGATTATCTGTCTACTCGGTTGGCATAAAAGAGAACCTAGGGTAGGGGTGTTGAACTCAATCAGAGAAGGGGCCAAAATCTAAAATCCAGCCTAAATCTCGGGCAGAATGGTTTACTGAACAGTCATAAACTGTCAATGTGATGGAAACACAGCGGAGTGCAGTGATGACAGCGCGGTGCGGGCCACATTGCAAGGCCTGGCGGGACGGATTTGGCCCTCGGGCCTTGTGTTTGACACATGTGACCTAAGGGTACCTCCATCTGTCTCTCTGTGTCTGTGTTTGTGTCTGTCTCTGTCTGTGTGTTTATATCTCTCCCTTTGTCTCTGTCTGTTTCTGTGTCTCTCTGTCTGTCTGTCCATCTCTCTTCCACTCCCCTCAGGATACCGTAAGTCTCTTAACTCCTCTGACCTCCCCCAGGATCTGACTTATTCCTTTTCTCAGCCTCTGACCCCATCAGTTGTCCCATCAAGTCACTGGAAAAGAACAGAAGGCATAAAATAGGAATTCCAAGGGGGGTGGGGGGGGGGAGGCTGGGGGGCTGCCCGTACAACTTTGAAATGAAGCATCTACCCAGCAAACACATCTCTCCACAACTCGGACCGTCGACCATGTGGCACTCACTTGGCTGTGCTAAATGCTAAAAAGAGGCCCTGTTTTCCTTTGCCAACCCCCCGCCCTGGGGACTGGGGTCTGCCCCCCCAGAGCAATGGGGCTAGGGCTAGACAGGAATACGGTGACACCTGCTCTGAGATAGGGACAGTCCAGGAAGCCAGGGAAGTACAGGGAGCCGCAACTATACAGTCAGCGTGTATTTCACATAATCAATTGGCTGGTAATGGTGGTGGATGGTGAGCATTTATTGGACAAATGGACTTTCCTGAGGGGTTTGGATGGTTTTACGGTCAGAAGAGGAGAACAGGGAAGCCAGTGCTATAAATACTGATCCGAGCGAATTAGGCGCGGACTGCACACCCGTTAAACCTTCAGAGGCCCACTTCCCCCTGAGAGTAGAAAACACAGGCATTACAGAACCAGAGGAAAGCGGGAAGACCTCTGACAAAGATGGCTAAGGAAGCCCTGAGGGGTCAAAGGAAACACAATGGAAAGAACCCAAGGATTCCTGCTTGGAATTCTCCTTTGGAAGCTGATCGTGGGAGCCTAAGGAATATATTCTAGACAATTTCTGCTCCATCGCTAGTTCTCATGTGTCCAACGACGACAAAGAAAAGACTGGCAGTTAACTGTTTGACAAAATGAGCTGAATAATGTAACGTAGGTCTTGAGGCAGATCATAAATTACAGGCCCGGTAAACGCTATAGCTCAGTGAGATTACCACGCCCAAGGATTTGCCAAAATGGGATTTACAGCCTTATAGTCTGACCAGAACTATTTTCCGTTCCCTTTCACACTGCAATGTTTTAATTATCATTTTAAATGTATCTTTACTATTGAAAGTATGACACAGGTCTCCTGTTTATTTCCACCATGGACTTCCGCCACCACCCCACACCCACCCCACCCAAGCCTTCACCACACTATTGTCTGTGTCCACGTGCTCTGCGTTTTCCTCTTTGATGTCGTCACATAGGAAACCTGTCAACATAGCCAAAGAAGCTGGAAACCCTGCTAATTCACAGAATCCAAGATATGGGTGAATTCCAGCCCACCACTGAGAGCACCGAGAATGAGCCCCGGTCAATGGCCTGCTCACTGCCAGCATGCCACTGGCCGAGTGGAACCGGAAGTGGGATTTGTATAACCCTTGGCCCTCCTGAAGGTCACCTGCAAGTGGCTGAGGGCGTTGACCTGGGAAAATGCTCTGCACACGAACCAGGCCAGCATCCCCTCTTTGCTAGGGGTTGACACCTTGAGGCTCCTTTTCCTTGCCCATGGGAGAGAAATGTCTTTCCACACATCCTGACCCGTCGTCAGGGCTACTCATGAGGCATGCACCCCTCACTCCATGGGTGAACCCCTTCAGAGCACCTCAACTGTTAATGCAAAGGGTCAGTGGCAGGGACCCAGGGAGGCCAGCAGCCCATGGGCTGAGTCCACCCCCTGGCAGCTCCACCACCAGTACCTGCCGCTCCCTTGGGGGACACCCAAGTCCTAGGGGTTCTCTCCCCTCCTCAGGTTTCTGCAACTTTGCACATCCCACGACTTGTGAAGTCACAGACACGTCTCAAGTCTAACTCCCGGCAGGCCTGCCTGATGGGGGGTGTGGGGGGGACACACACACTTCACTCTGCCTCCCTGGCATTTGCCTTCTCGCAAGTGTGTGATCCCCATCCCACAGACTGCAGAGGAATGACAGCATTCACACTGGTGACAGAGGGCTCTGCGAATGCCGTGCCTGCCCCTCCCCCTGGGGCTTTGTGAAAACACATCACAGAGTACCTATCGCCTCGGTTTCCTTTTCCATGACAACTGAGTTCTAGGCTAGATTGGAATTTCTTTCTTTTTAAAAAAATATATTTTATTGATTTTTTACAGAGAGGAAGAGAGAGGGAGACTTAGAAACATCGATGAGAAAGAATCATCCGTCAGCTGCCTCCTGCACCCCCCCCACAGGGGATGTGCTCACAACCAAGGTACATGCCCTTGACCGGAATCGAACCTGGGACCCTTCGGTCCCCAAACCGGTTTGGGCTAGGTCAGAATCTCTTAGCTATCAATCTGAGTTTCATGAAGAGTTATGTAGGCAAAGGCTGAACCAATACAGAGCTGCCACTTCTTTTTTAACAAGGACATAGAATGAGCGAACACACAAACTCTTACCATGTCTAGGCATGGTGTGGAACGTGGGCCCAACACATACTACATAACACAGCATGGATAACCTGGGATTTCATAAAACCAAGGGTTGCATTTAAAATTAAAAAAGAAAAGATCTCAAACTATTAACGACAGCACAAGGAGCTATTTCAACCACCATAAGTCATTCTTAATAAAATGAGATTGTTTTCTAGTAGCTGACTATTCTATTATAACAATAGACTAGTCAACTGCTGAAATCGGTTTGGCTCAGTGGATAGAGCCTCGGTCTGCGGACTGAAGGGTCCCGGGTTCGATTCCGGTCGGGGGCATGTATGTTGGTTGTGGGCACGTCCCCTGTGGGGGGGTGTGCAAGAGGCAGCTGGTCGATGTTTCTCTCTCGTCGATGTTTCTGGCTCTCTATCTCTCTCCCTTCCTCTCTGTAAAAAAAATCAATAAAATATATTTTAAAAAAAATAGAATAGTCAACTAATGAATAGTCAACTAATGCGGAACACACACTCTGCACGTTGGAGAGCTTTTCCCCCAAGTTCACGCGGGGAGGGCCGGAGGCATCGGGTCCGCTCGGGCCTCTGCTGGTGGCACTGGCCAGAAAGGGAAGTCGTGCTGTGGTGAAGCTGTCTTTATCTCAGAGGCCAACAGCCGCTTTGCAAATTTGTGGTATCATTTCCCTAAACAGCCGGGCCTGGGCTGCACTTTGGTTCCTCAGTCCTACACGTTCCTGCCTCTTCTCGGAGGCAGAAACCCAGCCTGGAGCTCTGTCTTCTTTTCAATTGTGAGTGCTGCCCGCAGAGGAGAGCCAACTGTTCAATCCACCATGGGTGACTGCGGAATGGCATTCACCAGGGAAGGATGGGGCGGACTAGACCTCTCTATCTTCTAGAGAAACGATGGAAACGTCATAGCTTCTCTCTTCTCCACGGAATATGTGTGAGTCAAAGGAAAAAACCTTTTTCAAGTTAATGCATGGTTCAGCCAAGGAAGAAGCAAGCAAAGAAGCCAAAATCAGGTAAAATCCGCATTTCTAACCCCTGCCTTATACTTGTAAGAACATGACTGAAGGGTATTTGCTAGCCCTTGTTTTGAAAATATATTGATTGTATTGCACCAATTGAAAAAAAGAAGTTTTTATTAGAAGCAAACTGTTAAATCCAGTGATTTCAGTTCTTAAAAATGTGTTAAATCTTTATGATGAAAGTATTGCATATGTCCCCTTTTTTTCTCCCGTTAACTTCTCAGATGTTTTCTTTTTAAAAACAGGAGGGCAAACAATTTTAACCACACAGGCTAGCAAGAATCTTCACTGAAATAAAATCTTAAATACTTTGCAGTCACAGAGGGGGAAAACAAGTATATTTCACATATGCTCCCCGAATTCCTCCCATAGTATTTATTTATTTATTATTATTTTAAAAAATATATATTTGATTGATTTTTTTACAGAGAGGAAGGGAGTGGGATAGAGAGCTAGAAACACCGATGAGAGAGAAACATTGACCAGCTGCCTCCTGTGCCCCCTCCCACCCCCACCGGGGATGTGCCCAAAACCAATGTACATGCCCTTGACCGGAATCCAACCTGGGACCATCCAGTCTACAGACCAATGCTCTGTCCACTGAGCCAAACCGGTTTCGGCTCCTCTCATAGTATTTAAGTGAAGTTCTTTAAGGAAAGAATTAGCCACTGGTGGGTGAGACAGGTAATCAGGTCATTCTAAACCTGGGGGTCACAAGGACAGAGTCTATCCCCCAAATTTTCCTGACACTAATCATGAATCCCTTTCATGACAGAGCGAAGGAGAAAAGGAACCGGCTAAGCCTTCTCCTGCAGAAATCCGAGTTCCACGAGGAGCCAAAGGCCAGGAGGTCTGCACTCTTGACTGGAACAACCAGGTGAATAAGGTTCCGTTACCTGGGGAGTGGGAGAAATTTTGCTGATTCTATCATGGGGGGGGAGGGTCTAAGAAAGAGGAAGTTGGAAATGTCTGTCTTATTTGAAAATCGCACAAGAATATAGGAAGGTTAGAGATCTCATTTCAGAAAAGCAAGGAATATAACCACTTTCATAGCTTGAATTACATGACCTAATAAAAATGTAAGTGCTCTCTTTTAAAATGATAGAGCTGTCCATTTTAAATGATATATTTTACCCCTTGTAAACTGATGGAAGACTCATTAAGAGTTTTCACAGTGTAGAGTCACAGAGAAGACCTAGCCACATCTTTCCTCAGTGGTTTGGAAAATGTTCTAGATATGACAGCAAGTAAGTTAAAAATAAACAAACAAACAAATAAATAAATAAATAAAAGGTGCATTTTGTAATGTTTAGCCATTTCTTTAATTCAAACAGAAAATGGAACAGCCTTATATACTTGTATAAATTCATAAATTCTTCCAAACATGAAAGATGACTAATAAGAGATCCAGGACACATATAACTCATCAGCATTGCTAAGATAAAATGTTTTCTATTTCTTATCCCTTTAAAAATTCATTAGTCAAACTTCCTGTATCTGTAAAAAAAAAAAAAAAAAAAAAAGAGCTGCATATTGTGGTAAGAGTTTCAAGGAAATTGCAGTTTACAAAAAAAAAAAGAAAGAAAGAAAGAAAGATGCTATCAGTTTAGGGCCTTCAATTTGCTGAATTAAGAAAAATCTGAATTCCCCACCCCCTTGGTTTTTAATCTAACACATGCTTAGTTTTTCCTTAGAAGATAATCACAGACAAAAGTGAAAAGCAAGTTGAGTGGTGTGTTTTTGAAGCTGCCAATGTGAATGCAGATTCCATTATGCAATAGGCCAAGGAGAACCCATGGAGTCTGGTGGAAACAGTCTGTAGCACAGACTCTAGGCAGACTGGCTGCACGCTCCTTACACAACATGTTGTGTCTTGAACAGAGTCTGCCCGGAAGAAGCAATGCGATGGGGTGAATCATTTGATAAACTGCTTTCCCATAAAGGTTAGTGGTATTTTTCCCAACTATGTTATCCCTACACAAAAAAGTATGCTAAGTATGCATGGAACTAGCTATACAACAGAGGCCGTCATAAAAATTGAGTCTGATGGGTAATTTGTAGCAATCTGAGTTTCTGATCAAAAGAAATCTCTCTATATAAAAGCCTAATATGCAAATTGCCTCCTAGGGAGTTCAGCTGGGAGACTGATCACTTGCTATGATATGTGCTGACCACCAGGGGGCAGTGAAAAAGGAAGGAAGGCGTCAGCTGGCAGCCAGCAGCTGGGAAGGGAGGCCCTGGCCTATAGCCAGTGGGCCCTGATTACTGGCCAGGCCTAGGAAGCCTAGTCATGCACGACTTTCATGCACCAGGCCTCTAGTAACTAAATAACAGTCAACTAATAGAAAACAATCTCATTTTATTAAGAATTATTTGTTGTGGTTGAAATGCCTCCTTGTGCTGTGGTTAATAGCTTCAGATCTATTTTTTATTTTATTTTAAATGCAACCCTTGGTTTTATTAAATCCCAGATTATCCAAGCTGTTTTTATTGTTTAGTGAGCTAAAATTTAAAGTATTGCTTTTGATGGACATTCAGGAAACCCTCATGAAACTAGTGTCTTTTTACTTTTATAACCACTCTGCCTGTCAATCATGTGCTTTAATTTTAATTTTATTTTACTTATTACATTGATTGGGGTGACATTGATCTACCTGAACATATAGGTTTCATGTGTGGGTTTCTATGTTACAAGGTCTGTATGTTGCACTGTGTCAAATCTTCTCCTGTCACCGGTTATTAGAATCTCTTCCCCAAACTCTTCCCCCCCCCCCCCCCCATCTCCTTCCCTGTGGCAGCCACCACGCTGCTGTTTGTGTTCATAAGTCTCGATTTAACTTCCCACACACAAATCACATGGTCCTTAGCTTTTTCTGTCTGACTTATTCCATTTTGCATGATGTTCTCAAGCAATCATGTGTTTTTTAAAGCGGAATTGCCTAGAAGTGGCCTGTGCAGGTGGAGCTTTGCAGGTGTGATAGGTTAGGACTGATTTGGAGCCCCGTTTGTCATACCGGGCCCGTGGTCGGCAAACTCATTAGTCCACAGAGCCAAATATCAACAGTAAAACGATTGAAATTTCCTTTGAGAGCCACATTTTCTAAAGGTAAACTTCTAACGCCACTTCTTCAAAATAGACTCGCCCACGCAGTGGTATTTTGTGGAAGAGCCACACTCAAGGGGCCAAAGAGCTGCATGTGGCCCGTGAGCCTCAGTTTGCCGACCACTGTCCTACCCTTTGAGAAAGCAGGGGTCAGAGGTCAAGCTTAGAGTCCATTTAGTACAAAGGCAGCAGGTGAGGGAGCATCTTTGGTCTTCATTCGGCACAGCATGTGTTTCAGGTGGCAGAGCTGACAGGCTGACATGAGTGGCAATAGGGCGGGGCCACCGCAGGCTCCTTGTTCCACTGGCCCAGGCAGCGTCTGCTTTGTCATCATCAAACAGCCCGCACTTCCTCCAGCCCCGTTCTCATCAGCATCTCAGCGTCTTCCTGTTCCTTACCTCCTTCTCTGAAACCAAAATGCTACACAGCCACTTCCCAGGTGAGGTTACAGGCTGTTCACAACCCTGCTAGTGGGGCTCACAGTCCAGGGTGCCCCCTGGAAGAAGGGGTCCCATTGCTGGGGCAGCGGGAAGGGCAGAACCCAGTGTGCATTACCCTTCGGAGGAAACCCCAACTTCCGCTTGTTTGTTTTTATTTCCTGTGTGTTTTCTCCCCCTCCATTGTCTGTCCTCCTGTAAAGCTTTGGTGACCAATTCATGTTCCACGAAGGATCCTGTTTCTGCAGACTCTTCCTGAAACTGTTCCCTCTTCCAGGGAAAACAGATTCTGTAATATTGGATCAAAAAAATTATATATATATATATATATATATATATATATATATATATATATATCCAAAACCAGTGTGGCTCAGTGGATAGAGCATTGGCCTGCAGATTGAAAATCCCAGGTTCAATTCCGGTCAAGGGCATGTACCTTGGTTGTGGGCACATTCCCAAAAGTGGGTATGCAGGAGGCAGCTGATCGATGATTCTCTCTCATCAGTGTTTCTAACTTTATCCCTCTCTTCCTCTCTGTAAAAATCAATAAAATATATATTAAAATATATACACACACACACACACACATATAGGTAGTGAAATCAAGACTTCAGTGTAGACAAGGATGGAATCAATGAGGATGGAGGGCAGCAGGAAGGAAAGACATTCGTGCTAACAGAACATAACCTGTTCCTCTTTGCCCCTCGCTGTCCTGGTACTCACCACTCTCAGCACCCTCTTTGGAGAAGAGTAAGGTAAACAGTTCTTCTCAATGACTTGACTTCATCCCCTATATCCCATCATTTCTGAACTACAGTTAAGATTCTTGCCAAACAGATAAAGAACCTCGCACGTCTTCACTAATTCCGCTGCCACTACACTGATCAGTTCTCAAGACGAATTACAACCTGTATAAAATGTTCCCCCATAATCCATGCCCCTGCCCCAAGATTTGCTTTCCAAAAAATCCTATTATTTCCAATATTTTGGCACACCCAAGCCCTTTAGCTTCTCAGTCAGTCAGAGCAAGGGAAGAGTGAGGGAGAGGGAATTCACTTGGTTTGCAATGTGACTGTTGTTTTTTTATTTTATAAGGAAGATGTCTTTTTAGCCAGCACATCACCTGGTACATAGTAAGTGCTCAACTAAACCAGATTTGTCGCTAGGAGAAGTTCTCTGGGGTCCCTTTGAGCTATGAGCTCAGGTTCTCTTCTACAACATAAAGGCTGTATCATCTCAATTAAGCGTCCTAATTACTCTGACCTTCAGCTTCCTCCAAGGTCAATGGAAATAACACTGTCGAAACAGGACTAAATGAGATGGCAAATATGATACCCAGGCCTGCTCGCACAAATGTTAAATGTCATTGCTATTATGAAATATCAACAATAACTTTAAGTGTCTTTTCCTGGCTTTTAGTTCACTCCTCACTGGTCAAACATGGACAGGGTTACATTTCCTTTGGGGGAAGGGGAGGGTGCATACACTGGATTTATTCCTTTAACTTAATAAATCGTTACCTAATAATGTCATCCTGCTCTCACAGCCTGTTCAGAGGCAAGAAAGGGTTAGCGAGGGTCATCGGCCCTCTAGAAAAGGCTTGCTGAGCAGCAGTCACAGCCAAACAGAGAAAGACCGCATCTGCTTCTGCTCACTGGTGGGAGGAGCTCAGAGCTGTGGAGGGGCAGTACTCGAGGCAAGAGAAGGGGGACACGAATAACAAAAACCCGCCCTGACCCACTTGGACGCTATTATCGGCGCTCACGATCTAAGTGCCAATTCAATTATGCTGAATTCACCCCAAATTGTGCAACTGCTATTCTTTTAATCAGCCCTCAAAAACCCAATTATTTTAATTGGAAAGCTTATTGTAATGTTAAATTATAAAGCTTGAAATAATCAGCTACAGAAGTCTGTTGGTGGCGATGGTTAAATTCAGCACGTTTCTACTGGATTCACTCTAGCCACTCCCCTCTCCCCCCAAAAAAAGGAAAGATCTTGTAATTAGGTGTGTACACACACACACACACACACACATACACAAGACCTTGATCCATCTATCAAATTTTATAGACTTCCCCTTGGGTTCAATATGTAAGCTTCTCAAATTCTGTATGTCACATGTATAAAAAGGAAATGGAAATTTTATTCAATTTAGTCCAATGAGACATGAAATGAACAAAACAGAATAGAAATTTGAGTAGTCAGTTTGATAAAAACGGCAGCTACTTAAACCACTAGAGACTGGTATTAGCATCTTCAGAAAGGCGGCCACAGAAAACGATGGTTCTTCCTCTGGATTTAGGGGATTCATCAAAATGCACCATCTGGACAAGGGGAGAAAGAGAACATGCAGGCAGAGTGCCAGCACAGGCCTGGGGAAGTGACTAGTGCAATGAGTTTAGGGAACTAATAAGACATAAGTCCTTATTGAGAAACAACATTTGAAAAAAGGGACTTACGGTAACGGTTAATGGCCAGGTGAGACTAAATGAGAGAATGTTTTTGCTGTATTCCACAGAAAGCAAACCACCCAGAGAGTTTTGGGGTATTTCCATTACCTTTTCAAATTCCATTTTTAAGGTGTAATTTAATTCTTTTAAAATTTAAGAAAACAGTAAGAATTCAAGGAAATCTAAACAAAGAATGGACTTTAAATAATAATATATCAACATTTCATAATAGAAGGGAACTGAACATGGGATATATGGGAACTGTACTATCTTCATAACTTCTGTAAACCTAAATTTGTTCTAAAATATTTTTTTAAAAATAAGCTAAAAAACACATTTAGTTAATTATGGAAGTCCCTCAATAACGTAACTGCTGTTCTCCCATTTGTTCCTATACAGATATTTGAATATTTTTTTGACATTCCTGTTTATTGACAAATTTGTCTGAAATTGCAAATGAATCGCAAAAATCTATGAATTAACTACTTATATAATTAATAATTTCTAAATGCTGCTTAATAAAAGCAAAAAGCATGAAAGACCAACATAAGACTATATCTGTCATTCATAATTATCAATTTCAAATCCAGTTACCATTCTTCTCATTGGCTGACTTTATGAAAGTCAATGCTATCAATATGAAGTGAACAAATCAATCCTTTCCAATTATATCACTAACACATGTATATTATAGTTTGGTTTGGGCACATTTATGTATATACTTCTGTGTAAGACATCTTTGAAAGTAAAACACTACTTCTGAATATAAGTAATTTTGAAAAACAACTGGCTAAATACATTAAAAATGATGGAAAAAATGCAATGTATCATGAAGGCTTTGGGAAACCTTTAAGAGAGACTATACAGATGCATGTGAGACTTCAACAGCCAAAAGAAAAGGAAACGTTGAGCAGAGAAAGGGGCATAGGAAAGGGCTGAGAAATGGA